CTCACAAGAGCTCACATATACTCATATAAAGAGACACAGTTTTTCAAATAGCCTGGGCCTAGATGATATAGGGCTTTATAATTCATAATCAAAACATGAATTGTAGCTTGAAATGGACCAGCAGCCAAGCAGTTGTTGCAACAAGAGAGTTTTATGCACCTTATAGCCAGACCCAGTTAACAATCTAGCGACAGTGCTACGGCCAAATGAAATTTCTGAGCATTTTTCAAAGGCATTTCAATGTGCAGCGTATTACAGTAATCTAAGCAGGATACATTGAATCAAAATCATCTGACCACAGGTCATGTGTTGCCATGGTCGATCATATGTCCTTTTTAGGTATTGGGATGACATAACTTGGGATGTGTCCAGTGAAAGCCAGGGATCCTTTGAATCATTCGAAAGTGACAAAGAATGGTAAGTTAGTAGTGAAAAGCAAACACATTGAAATTATAGTTGGCAAAGTGTTTAATCCCATTACCTTTCTACTGGAAGGAGAATATTTTAACAATAATTGTAATTGGTGTTTAAGCTTACATTACAGTACCACAAAGCACTAATAAAATAATGGTGAAATAAAAGCCACCAGTGATTTTATTATTTCCTCCTTTTCATCCCTTTCTGGAGTTTTTGAAAGAAGAAGACAGCAGACTAAATATTTGAAGAGCTCACTTTTCAACCAACACACCCAGGGAAATGTGATGGCCACAGGAACAGCTGTAACTGCTTAAGATACCCTGCAGTGTGGGGCTGATTTTGTCTACTGCAGGGTAAAATCATGTTATGTGGCCTTGCCCTGAATTGGAGCAAGAATGTGGAGAGGATTCCTGGTTGTGTCTGCTTTGCTGTTCTGCCTCCTGTTTTCCCAGAATCATTCCTAAATAATTGATTTTTTTTTTAATGGAGGCGGGGGGACATAAAACATTGTGTAAGGGCACTCATTAAACTTTTTTTTTTGGTCATTCAGGAGCGACTTGAGAAACTGCAAGTCGCTTCCGGTGTGAGAGAATTGGCCGTCTGGAAGGACATTGCCCTGAGAACACCTGGATGTTGTGATGTTTTAACATCCATGTTAGAAGCTGGAGCTGATAGAGGGAGCTCATCCACACCCTTCCTGGATTTGAACCTGCGACCTGTCAGTCTTCAGTCATGCCGGCACAGGGGTTTAACCCACTGAGCCACCGGGGGCTCCTACTCATTAAACTAAAAATATTTTTAGTTTAATTTTTACTCATTAAACTAAAAATATTTTACATGCCTTCCATTTATATTTTTTGCTTATTTTTTCCTCTTCCAGTTTGATATGTAGCATTTTGTAAAGAGGCTTCCGTTTTTAAAGTAAAGGCTTAGAAAAAGCTGAACATAGTTCATAATTATCTCCCTTCCTTTTTTCTCAACTTAGGTTCCAAGTGCGTATTAGAATTTATCAGCACTACCAGCTTTTCGGAAAGTGATATATTGCCTTGGAAAATATTAATATCAACAATTAGTGTACTGATATATAGTTCACTTCTGTCATTTCTCATCCGCTTTCTGTCATTTTCCTATTATGCGGCGCTGACAATTCCCTAAAGATTTAGAAGAGATATGGCTTCAGGGGAAGTTGTACCACTAATCATTGATAGCCATGTTTTGTTGTAGCGGGATCTGCTTTCAGTTTTGTCAGCAGAGGGGTTGGTGTGTGAATCTCTCTGCAGAGAATATAGTTCTTCATAAGATTCATTTACAAGCAGAAAATTTAATGGGCTGCAAGATTCAATCATGAGAGGTTTTCCCCCCCTTTCTTTCTTGCTGAAGCAGCTTGTCATTTTACTTAACTATAGGAGACAGGACAGAATTGTTAAAGCAATCCAATTATATAAGCTGTTGAACAAGGGATTTCTGGAAACTTTTCATTAGTCTAGTAAAACTGTAATAACGGATGGTGCTTTACCAATTGCTGGGTGTGGGACACAATTTGCAAATTCTGAATGGATAAGGATTTGAATTTGGACCTTATCGCATGGGCAGGGGTAAAGTGGGGGACAACTGGGGAAATTGTGTGGAAGCAGAGGGAGCCGTCAGGCTCTGTTATCTCCCTTCAGGACCCGTAATCTCCCTTCCCATGACATTTCCAGTCTGTTTCCACTTCCTCTTTGCCTCCTCTCATATGCCAGCACAGAGTCCCACCAGAAATAGTGCTGCATCATGTGATGGGCTTTGGGGGACTTGGTACCAGCAAAGGAGAGAAACTGAGAAAAGATATTCATTCTCTGTGTCTAGTAAGATCATGTCACCCAACCCACACCAGTACTGTGGATAAAATCCTATTTGCAGGTAACTGAAACTTCAGACACTGTGGTCATTTTTGAAAAACCCACTATCATTGTTGACATGACATTCTCCTGTGACAAGTTAATGAACAAACAAGAGTTCATAATTAGAAATTGGAGGGTGCTTGGAGCATCTAGATATAAAAAGTGAACTCCATACTGAACATGGGACTCCAGTGTGATGCTCTTTCAAAAATAACTACCAACTCAAAGACAGGAGGGCCATTCCAAGGTTCAGGCCCTGGCATTTCCACTTATAAGGACCAAGTGAACGACCACATCCTTGATTTATACTAGGTGCTAAGCAAAAGAGACTCCAAGAACTAAAGGATTCAATTAGCAGGTGCTAAGAATGTCATGGAGTAGGTTCAGTCTTTTTTCTCCTTAACCTTTCTTTTCTTGTGATCTGCTGCACAAAGGGAAGATCTTGGTTTGTCAAAAACTACGTAAAAGCAAATCCCTAGATTCAAGTAAAAATCTAGTTCTCTAAATCGAAATTAAAAATAACCCATTATTCAAGCAATTCAGTGCAGAGAATCATAATGAGCAGTCAGTAAATGGAACAATAAATAAAACCCACTCCACTTATTGGGGAAGGGGATAGCCCCTAATAAAATCCATGTGTCCGCTGCAGCCAAATTTTGTCCCTTCCGTTCTGCCCTGCACATGTTAAATATCCAGAGCCAGACCTTATCCCACAGCAAGATCACACTTCCTCCTTACAATTTCATTGTCATTTGCATGTAATGCTCTTTATAAATCTAACTTCGGCACAATCACCACTTTATCTGCAATATTACAGATTGAGTTGTTGTTTTCTCTCTGTAAACCATATGCTCACATCCAGCTTTTGGCCATTCAGAAAGATTTATTATTCAAACTATAATCACTCTGAGCTGGAAGGTATATTAGGCAACTGTTAAATTTCACAATTTGATATATCCGCCGTTTTATATGTGTGCATGCACAACCCAAAGAATTCAAGGGGGGGAAAGAGAAGAAAGTCAGACTCAACATACTTGGCAGATCATGACAGTCCTCTGCCTTCCTGGAACTACAAGGTATACATGACCTTGGCCCTCCACTGTGAATCTATGCACTGTAAGTCCATATACATTTGAGTGCTGGAGATTCATGGCAGAGAATGCGGCTTGTTTTGTTGATCTGTCCATTGCTTTTCCAGGTAAAAGACCTTATCAGGACAAAGGCACCACATAAAAGGGCACTTTGAGACCACTCACAGCCCTTTCGTCAAGGGCAAAAGCTGTCAGCAGAAATAATGCTGAAGAGCTTTTCTAGTTCAAGAACACACAGGTTTTAGAAAACATGTAAAGGCTGCACTGAATATGGACTTTGCTGGGTAATTTTCAGTTAAGAGTACTTAATTGCTAGAATCCCATACCATATTCCTGATGGTGATTATATCTACTGTTATAAACCTTATTGCACCTATTGCACCCTTTGCTGTAGGAAATACACATTTAATTAACAGTAATGTCCAAGCTCTGCTTATTATGTTAAATGATGAGAATCTTTTCTAATTTTCTTACCAAAAAGAAATGTACTGGGATATAGTGTTATAAGAAGGGTTGTGCAATATGTGTGTGATAAAATGTTCATGCTTATGTGCAGTTAACACATAGCGTGAGACTTAATTGATCTTGAATGTCTGATTGAAAATTTAATACAACATTTTAAAGTGCGTGAATCAAAGAAATTTAGAATTTTGTCATAAATTATTTTAAAAATTGATATATTCAGTGGAATCAATGAATTTTCAGGCTGATAAAAAAAGCAGCAATTCCCGTGTTTCATAATTTTGAGTTCTAACCGTTCTTTACTCTGGCACTTCAATGGTTTTATCTTGTTGTATACAGCTATAGATGGGCAAAAATTTAATAAAACCAATAATGTGATTTGAATGTGGAGAAAATATTCATTTTTGTAACTGAAATTATTTATTTGGTTAATCACATAGTATTTACAAGAAGCTTGTATACTTTCTCCTGTGGTATAAAAGAGGTGCACTTGCTCAGTTCCACCCAAAATGTTGAGAATTTGTATTTTCAAGTCTAATATTCTTGCAGTGTAGTTATAAATAAATGCAGCTATTAAAAGATAAAATGAAAGAAAATCTTCTTGTTCAGACTTCTCTTGTTTTGCCAGTATAATATAATTATCAATAAACTACAGCACCAAATGTTATCATTCATTCATTAATAAGCTTATCATCTTTGGTTGGGACTTATCACATGACATGGCTTCTCCCTTGTTGCTCTCCTGGTGGGAGATAACTTAGAAAGTATTTCTTTTACAAACATAAACGATACGTTAATAATCTCCTTTTATAAAAGAAACACTTTCCAACAGTCTCAACAAAGATAACGGGCACTTAAAAAATTGAGAGGAGAGGAAACACACGGTAATCGATTGCTGACATACCAATAAGAAAGGCCTCACCATGTCATCTTTCACAAGATGCAGGCATCTAGAAGGGCTGCTGGTGGAGCCATTTCATTAATGTGAGACTTTATAGCTAGAATCATGCACAACTTGACCTGGTTATGCAAGAGCTACTCAATATGGAAGTATTGTTGTAAGCTACCTTAATCATTTTATCCTGTAAAGACAGGATAAAACTGTTTTTCCTTAGTATTTATATTATTTTCTTGTTCTCTTTTCAAATAGATATGCTGTGATGCTAAGCAAATCATTCGTGCCACGGATTTATTGGACTGGGAGGACAAAGATACTGCAGAAACACTGGTTGATAACATAGTCCATTCAAAGATCGTCAATCCTTTACGCCTTTTTGTGAAGCCATCACCAGGACTGAAACATGGGCAGATGTCATATTCGGACAGCATAGACAACTTTTGGGATTGGTTATCCAACATCACTGAAGTTCAAGAATCTCTTCAACGAACTAAACGCAGACCAATTGTAAAAACTGGGAAATTCAAGAAAATGTTTGGATGGGGTGACTTCCATTCTAACATCAAAACTGTGAAGCTGAATCTTCTCATAACAGGGAAAATTGTTGACCATGGCAATGGAACCTTCAGTGTTTATTTCCGGCACAATTCAACCGGACTTGGAAATGTTTCGGTGAGCCTCGTGCCACCTTCTAAGGTGGTGGAGTTTGAACCTTCACCTCAGTCAGCTTTAGAGACCAAGGAGTCCAAGTCTTTCAACTGTCGAATTGAATATGAGAAAACAGACAGGGCTAAGAAAACTGCATTGTGTAATTTTGACCCTTCAAAGATTTGCTACCAAGAGCAGACGCAAAGCCATGTATCCTGGTTGTGTTCCAAACCATTTAAAGTCATCTGTATTTACATTGCTTTTTACAGTGTTGACTACAAACTGGTGCAGAAAGTCTGCCCTGACTACAACTACCACAGCGAGACACCCTATTTATCTTCTGGATGATACACTCTCTCCAATTTTCAAGGACTGTGAAATCTGAATATTGATAATCTGTCTAAAATTCCACTTAAAATGTCTTAAGGCAGTGCTTCCCAATCAGGTTAAAATAAACGCATTCTTCCCCTGAAAATTATCCCCTTCCATGGGCTGGTTCACCCATGTATATTTTGCAGTTGATGGCTACAACATCAAGTAGCAATGTGCATGTTGTCAATATATCGTCTGGGATCAAGCACCACATAAACTCCTTCCAGAGCAGTTCAGAGACACATGTCTTTTAGTGGAGTTGGTTCAGCCACTCAGCCGCAGTTCAACATAATGAGTAATTGTGGTTGTGCATGTGTATCAGCCATATGTCTGTGCTGTTACCATAAACATTTTCACATTCAGGTACCCTAATGTTGCTTTAGAAAAACATTTAATTTCTGGATGTTTTTTTAAAAAGCTATTCTAATTATAGGGAAAGAAACAACCACCACTAGCAATATGGGGATGAGACGCCAAGAACAATCTCACATGTAAGCAATGTGTACCATTCAACTGATCTGAAAACTGCAAAAAATCTAACACCAACTGTTAGGTGTTGAAGGAGGCACTGCAGTCCCTTGGTGTTATAGGTTTGGCCAGAACTGCTGTTGAATGCAAATGTGTCGAGGCAAATATTCAGGGCCCTGTAGAAATGACACTTAAATGGGCATCTGTATGAATTTAGGGGAGAATTAAACAGTAGTATGAGGTTATGGGGGGAAAAAACATTACTGTGCAGGGCTTACACGTCACTACATTTGCCATAAATTCTGCCTAAAGTTTAGGCAAAAAATTATGTAGAGAGTGAATGTTGCAACGGGTTTCTGTGAGATTTGCATAGCCTATTCATGAATGAATCTTTCACAAAATTTTGTTAAAGGCTTGCCATTTAACTATAGTGTAGCAGACTTGAGTCCAGATAATGCAGTGTGGGTGTATCATTTGTATGCCTAAGAAGCCATGTTTATATCAGTTCCTGAAATGCACTAGTATAATTTTTACACCTACTCCTGAGTTTAAAAGCACATTCTAACTTTATTGCTACTCCTATATGAAAATGTGCCATTAATGAAATAGAATAAAACAGGGTCCTAATGAAATACATTTGTAAAAAGAAACAATTAATGCTATAGGTTCAGCAGCTAAACAGGGTTCAACCTTAAAGGCTGTTGCTAGCACAGTACAGTGAAACCTTCCTAAGATCTCAACAGCTTTTGCTATAGTAAAAATGCATTAATCCCAAGGATTGCCAGCTCTCTGAAGGAAACCAGTCTTATTAAATACAGGAAACTGTAAAGTACATTTTCAGTGAAACAGCCAAGCTATGGAGGATCACCCCTTTCTGTGCAATGGAAATCATGCTCAATCACAAGGAGAAGGCTTTTGATTTCTAGCAACATGTACACTTGCCAGGTGTGAAATGGTTGGGAAATCTCGTAAGAAATCTGAGATATGATGTGTCAATTGCAAACTTGTGTTTATCTGACCAGAATTTCAGGGTTTATGTGTATGTGTTCTGATATTGTTCATTTTTTGTATGAGAAAGTCTTTAATTACTTTATTTTAGTGAAATATGTGTATACACAACCGTTCCTCCGTTCTAGAAGTGTAGACACCATATGTGGTATTACCTCCTCCAGCCCCCATCTTAGTCCTGATATTGAACACTGAACTTCAAGTAAGATCTTTTTCATCCACCCACAGAACACATCTTTGGATGACCACACTTTTGGATTCATGACACCAGTGAGAAGCTCATTTATTCCAATATAGAAAGCAACTATATTGAAAAACCCAGTGAAAAACCCAGTGAAAGGCAGGTAGTTTTCTTAAAATTTTACCCTGAACATTTTAAAAGCTAACAGTGTCTGCCTGCCAGTGAAATGGATATAACTAGTGAAACAGATTCATATTTCCCCTGCAGCCCTATGTATACATCCCAGAATCTATTTCAGAGAGATAAAGCATCTTCTGCAAAGATTTAGGTGTGTGTGTGTGTACATACACAGGCAGGAAATGGAAACTTGTTTTCATATGTTATAGGGCATAGCTCTTGGTAATTATTAGATTTCAGTGAAAGAGAATTGAAAAGTTCTCTTTAAAACATACTACAAGTTGTCCAAAGTGGAAAGAGCACATAAAACAGATTTGCAAAAACTACAGGCTTATAAACTGTGCATTTCAGGGTTATATATACACATATCAATTCACTTAACTGTAGAAAGGTCAAACACAGCATTTAAAGTTATCAATTGCTGTAAGAATAATCAAACAATGATATCCAGTGTTACTGAGTGAAAACAAGTAGGATGCAAAGAACTTCTGTATTAGCCTCTCTCTTCAAACAAAGCGGAGGGTTCCTTCTACACTTGCTTCCTTTTAGTTACAATGCACGTTTGCTAAATGCATGTCAGGAGAGAGCAACATGGTGATACTTTACCATCAATTTGGGAGACCACATTACATTCCCTAGAGTCCAAGAAGCTAGGACAGAAATGAGAATGGAATTTCTAATGTAAAAGACTCCCAAATTGCTTTCTCTTGACCCATGTGCATCTGGTCTCACCTCAACCATATATCCAGACCACCACCATGTTGCTTTAATATGTATAATATGTATTCTTGTGTAGACCAGAAATATGGCCAAGACCTGTTAAGTCCTTTGTACAGAAGAATCACAGAATCATAGTTGGAATAGACCACAAGTGCCATCTGTTCCAAATCTGTGCTATACAGGAGTACATAATCAAAGTAGTCCCAGCAGATGGCCATGCAACTTCTGTTTAAAAACCTCTTAAGAAGGAGATTCTATCATATTCTGAAGCAGCATATTCCACTGCCAAACAGCTCTTACCATCAGGAAATTCTTCCTACTATTCAGGTGGATTCTCTTTTCTTATAATTTGAATCCATTTCTCCACGTTCCATTTTCTAGACCAGCAGAATATAAACTTGCTCCATCTTTCAAATATTTAAACATGGCCACCATGTCCTCTCTCAGCCTTTTCTCCAAGCTGCACACACCCACCTCCCTATGCCTCTCCCATAGGACTTGGCTTTGAAACATTTGATAATTTAGTCACTATTATCTGAACACTTATCAATATCCTTCTTGAATTGTGGTTCCAGGATTCCAGTTGAGGTCTGGCCTAAACAGAATAGAGGGGACTATGACCTCCCTCGATCTAGGCACTATTTTCTTATTGAAGTTTTTCAGGCAGCAGATTAACCCTTAAAAAAAAGTTATTTCAAGATTTCTTTCCCAAGAAATTTTGAGGACACACACATTTATTTTACAATGCTATCAGATATATATTTATTTATCACATCATAACCGTTTCCTGAACTCTCTCGGTTTACTATGCAGTCAAACTTTTCCCAGCCAGCTTCAACTCCATTCTAAATTTATCTTAATACCAACCCTTTAGTTCCCTTTCTTCTCCCCTTAATTCTAATTCTTCCTTTAAAAGTTCAGTTGGTACTGAATTGTTGATCCCACATGTTGGTAGGTGCTCTTTCTGTCTGCTAACCTAGCATTTTAGTATAACAAATTGACAAAACATTACTGTGTACCTTCAAGTCGTTTATGACTTATGGTGATCCTAAGGAGACCACATCACAGGGTTTTCTGTGGCTGAGAGTGTGATTTGCCTATGGTCATAGAATCATAGAATTTGACAACACAATAGACTCATGTGTAGGACTAACATGGCTCCATAACTTGCATACTATAGCCTTTTATGTTCCCCATCTTTCCCTCCTGTTTCCCTTTTTATTGTTTATTCAAGTTGTTTTTTTTTTTAAATAAAATAAAAGTTATATATAAAAGAGCCCACAAGAGCCATCTAGTCCATCTCCATCTGCCATGTACCAATACACAAATCAAAGCCTACATGACAGGTAAGCATTCAACCTCTGTTTAAAAACCTCCAGAGAAGGAGGGTCCACCACACTCCAAGGTGACACATTCCACTGGCAAACAGCTCTTAACCAACAGGAAGTTTTTCACAATGTTTGGGTAGAATTTGTTTTCCATATCTTAGTCTATGAAGCTGCAGAAAACAAATTTGCTCCTTCCTCAATATTACACCCTTTGAAATATTTGAACATGGCTATCATGTCCCGAGTCAGCAATCTAAGCTGAACATGCCCAGCTCTATGAACCATTCATAGAATCATAGAGTTGGAAGAGACCTCGTGGGACATCCAGTCCTACTCCCTGCCAAGAAGCAGGAAAATTCCTCGTATGGCTTCCAGATCTTTCAGTCACTCAATTGGTTTTCATGGCTGAGACCCTGTTCTCTAGAGTCATAGCTCAGCACTCAAACCACTACACGACACTTGCTAATTGACAAAATAGCTATAATTTATTTTTTAAATTGAACATTGTTAGCCACTGCACTACCTGTCCTGCATGTCTTTTTAAAAGTCATAATACCTCTTGTCCAAAACAGAATCTAATCTGGAGGCTTTTGGCAGGATTAACCCCCACAGCCATACTGTCTACCTTCCATGATTTCCAGTGAGGCATAGTTCCAGTTATGGGTCAAATGTTCATTGGATCTTAACTTGCTGGTAAAAAAACACAGGAATATCCAGCCATCTATAAGCTTAGTCCCCTCCTGACTTCAAAGCAGTGTATTAATTTCTTTCTCTTGCAGGAAATCTCCATCCAAATATTATTTAAACAAAAGTAGTGGTCATAGAAATTTGCAGCTGAGAAGTGTGTTTTTTATTTGATTGATCATAAATATGAAAATTTACACATTTTTCCTGTCAATAATATTTTTTCTGCATTAACATCCTTTCCATTTTTTCCTTTCTGCCAGGATGATAAACCATGATAATTCTAGTTCACATTTATGTCTTGTATGGTCTAGATTTAGCTGTATATAAGCTAGGATTTATTGCTAAAAATTATGAGTTCAATACTGGGTGCTTTTGTAATTCAGTCGTAAGCCATTATTTTTGGACATGTATTTTTACCCACCTCTATAGGCAATTTAAAATACAGCTAAAAGTTATTTATTGTAGAGTATGTGGGAATTATAAATGTATATATACTTAGAAATGTATGTGTACAAGTACAAAATACCTGCATACACATATTTCTATGTAAATAAATAGAGTTTGTTAAATCTGTCATTGTTTAGGACAGCTTTCCTTTGGAGTGTAATTTTTCTCAGTGTAACTGTTTGAATATGCTTACATTAAATAAGGATTATATGTCTGCATTTTATCACAATTTAGAGTAAAGCTGCCAATGCATTACAAGTTTTTGGCTACAATCCTATTAGCCACTTAACTGAGAGTTTGGGTGCATTTACATTGTAGAATTAATGCAGTTTGACACCACTTTAAGTACCATAGATCAATGCTAGGGAATCCTGGGCTTTGTAATTTGGTAAGGAACCAGCACTCTTTGGCAGAGAAAGCTAATGATCTTGCAGAACTACAGCTCCCACGATCCCATACCATTGAGTCACAGCAGTTAAAAATCTGCAGTGTCAATGCATCCTAAGCCTCATTGGATTGGATGGTGCTTGCTTCCCAAAAGGATCCATTTGTGTTTATTCTGAAATGCTGTTTCATTTTATGATACATAATTCCAGGTATGAGTATGAGATTGCAGATTTACAAGGCAATTGATCAGTTTGTGCTCAGAAATGAGTACGATTCATTTCTGTGCAGAGAATACAGCAAAGTTAGAATTTGTGGAGAAATCGCTTAGGCATGGAATATTCAACATTCAGAATTGCATATTTTCCTTCACAGAGGATGAGATCTTCCAACAGGGTTGTACGGATTAATCTTTGCATTGATTGTGCCGTGCCATCCTTGAGTTGAATTGAAAAGTTACAAAACTGAAGAGGCACGCAAATACAGAACCAAATGCAGAAGCAGTCTGAAAGCATCTCTGCCTCTACATCTGTGTGCAGTATGACATTGCATGCATACCTCCATAACCCTGAACTGAATCCTTATGTTCCACATTCAATGAAAGTGTCCAACTGCTTCCATAGAAAATCTAAGTGACACCAGCAGGGTTCTGGCCATAATTCATATAGTTGGTCAGAAATTTATCTGTAACATAATAGTAGTTTACACTCTGTTGCCAAGTGGCCTACAGAGCCTATGGGTGTATCTATATTGCATAATTAATGCTGTTTGACTCCACTTTAATAGATATCCTGACTCAATGTTATAGGATCATGAGACTTCACCCTTTCACATTCAAGAATGGGAATTAATTCCATGTAAGATTTATCTGTGCAAAAACATGCCGCATCATTGTGTACTAATAATTTATGACCTTACTTTTGTGAAAAGGTCTCTTAAAGTATTCGGGCAGGGAGAATAGGAGGAGAAAGCATTAGGCATACTGACAATATCTCTGTAGTTATGAGATGTTTTTCGTTTTCTTTTTAATTAGCTAGAATGGAATGGGTCATCTCCAGAGAGCTGTTTTTGCAGTAGTACTGAGGCTGGCGGTTGGTGGGAAGGGGAGTTGTGCTATGCTGATACAAATGTCTTGAGATAATGCAGAAGGATCCTAAAAGCAGGTAACTTTGTTACACAGCAATGGCTAAGAATGGCACTCACCATCTTTTCCCAGTCCTCCAAATGTATCCATGAATTCTACCTTAATGAATTTAACCATACACAGATTGAAAATATCACCCATCCCCACCCCCTGAACATTCCAAAAAGCAAGATTTGATTTTGCCCATTTATATAAGGAACATGATTTTATTGCACCATGTGTGTAATAGGACTTGAGCATTCACAGATTTTGAAATCCATGGGAAGTCCTGGAGCCAAACTCCCAACAGACACCAAGAGCCCACTATATACCATTAAATTTAGTCCAGATTTGCTCTGCGTAAACCATAATTGATTTTTCTGATATTGTATTTTTATTGTTGCTTATGACTTTCAAAGTTTCAATTGTGTTTTCAGATTCCTTATTCTCCTGCCTCATCAATGCCTTTCACTGGTTTAAATAGGACTGGGTAAAGTGTGACACATAGGGCTCATACAAACTCAAGTCTGTTTTTTTAGCTTCTAGGGATAAGGAATTATTCCCATGCATGAAGTATTTTCTGCAGATTTTGACCAATCACTTCCTGGTGTTAAAAAGGAGGCTTCAGTTGGCCCAGGAGACCCTAAAACATGGTGAAAATACTCCTCATACCCCTAGATATTGGGGGTAGGGGGTAGATACAGCCTGCAGTGGTTTCCTACAGGGCTAATGTAGCCTTCCTTTCCCAACTAGTATATCACTGAGCTAAACGTACAGTGATTTGATGATATCAGAATCACCAATTAATAACACTGCCCTCAATTTTAGTCTTTTGGTTTGTCCTTGTAGCTTTGATTCACAACTTGATCATCTTAGATGCAAATCCAATTTATAATTCTGTGCATCTTTCCTTATAGCGAGACCAGGCTTGCTCTTTCATCAAAAGTAAAGGCAATTAAGCTTTGGTTACTTTATCTTAGCAATTCCGCATAAGCTGGTGATCTCCCCAAAAGGTGATATGTTGTAATTGGTTTCAAATTAAAACTCAAGTATTTAGAATATGAGATTTTGAGGAGGGGTGATATTGTAATTCTTCTGCATTTCCTTTGAAGGCAAAAGTTGGGGATGGGAGGGCTCTTTTTTAAAAAGTGTTATCCAAAATACATCACGATGAGCAGAGATTCTACCATTTATCGCCTATCTAATGAACATTTATTGAATAATGTACTGCAGTTATCAAATTCTGCTCTCAGAAGCCACGTGAATGTGAGTTTCCACAACCAGTTCTTTCTTCATAGATTTTATATTCAAAAATATCAAAGTCAGTAATTGGCTCAGCTGATAAACTTAGAAAGAGGACACAACCCCCATATAATGGATCCACAACCCCCATATAATGGATCTATATAATGGATTAATAGAATGTCTTGCTAATTCTATTAATCACACTTCTGCAAATACCTGATTGCACAGAAGCTAAGTTTGAAATCATGAATTGAAACAAATGTGAAGTTTCTGCTCAAATAATCTTGAGGAGTATTCATACTACACAGTTATAGCTCTTCGACTGCCAATACTGTTCTACATAATCCTAGAATTTGGACTTTGTTGAGATACTTGCACAAAAAGCTCTATTGCTGTAGTTCGTTACAGGATTCTGCAGAATTCAACAACACACCAGCAAACTACAAAGCCCATAATTCCATAGGATACCGCCACGACACTTAAAGTGGTATCAAACTGTTATAATTCTGCCATGTGGACCAATGCTTGCTGGTTGAAAAAGAAAAAGGGGGAGAAACATGTATATTGATTTATTAAAAATTGGCATTTTATGCAAAGTATATTTGCATCAATTATGCAAAGTGAAAAAAATTGGCATTTGGGTTTTGTACCAAGTGGGTAGTTATAGGAGGAACAAAAATAAGTGCATTGGTCCTCAATAAATGCTGCCCCTACATAAACATTTCCTTTAGCCCTCAACTTCTAGCATTGCAGAGAATGAGACACTGAAAATCATTCTCAGAGCTCATATTTGT